AACTACAAATGAATATATGTTGGTATTTGATGAATTTAGTTTTAAAAGAGATACTATGTATGGAACATGTGCAAATTGCAAGCGATATAACACATCTGAAGCTTGGTGTCGAACATGTGACCCTTGGAAGACAACACAAGGATGGACAAGTGGAAATAAGGATGTCGATAATTGCATTAAAGAATTTCAACTTAAAGCTACTAAATACGAAGATGTAATTGAATAGATTCCTTTGGATTCCTTTTGATAGATTAGTTGATATTCAATACATTGGGGATAGGATTTTAGCAATCTGGCTGGATGGAATACGATATCTAAATAAAGATGTGTTTGGAAATAAATATACACAGTCACGTATATCATCACGTAAAGTGGAGCTTAAAATATTAACTACGCGTAAATCACAAAATTTATTAGATATGTTAAAAGAAGTAAGATATAACGATATTATTTATTATGTGTAGCTTATTTAATTAATAGCCTGTTTACATAACGACTTACATATTTTATTTATTTATAAGTTTAAAAATCTTGTGCAATTAGAAAATAAAGTTCTCTATGGTTTAACTCAAAACACAGCAGCAAATGAATACATGTTAGTATTTGATGAATTTGGTTCTAAAAGATTTGAGTATAATGGAAAATGCACAAATTGCCAACAATATAACACATCTGATGGTTGGTGTCAAGCATGTGACCTTTGGAAACCAACACAAGGATGGACAAGTGGAAATAAGGATGTCGATGATTGCATTAAAGAATTACAACTTAAAGCTACATTTTATAAAGACGCAATCGAATGGATTCCTTTTAATAGATTAGTTAATATTCAAAACATCGGTGATAAATTTTTTGCAACCTGGTTAGATGGAGTACGTTATGTAAAAAATGAATATGGCATACTTGGATATTAACGTACACAGTCACGTATACCGTCATATTGTGTGAAGCTTAAAAGATTAAGTAGATTACCGAATATTAAAAATATTTTAAAAGAAGTAAGTTATTAATATATACGGTATGATAGAGTTTTCCGACAACCATTTTGCGACAATTTACCTCGAGCCAGCACTAACCATGAATCTAGCCAACCCTAACTTAAATTAGGCCATTGGTCGGTGAAATAGTTGTCGACGAAACCGGACTATACCAACATATAGCTTTATGTCAATTTATATTTGAATGTTTAATAAGTTTATAGATTACGTGCAGTTAGAGAATAGTGATCTTAAAGTATTTGATGAATTTAATTCTGAAAGAGATAAATATAATGGAAAATGTGCAGATTGCATATAATATATCAGGAGCTTGGTGTCAATCATGTGATCCTCAAAAAACAACAGAAGGATGGACAAGTGGAAATAAGGATATCGATAATTGCATTAAAGAATTTCAACTTAAAGCTACAAAGTACGAAGATGTAATTGTATGGGTTCCTTTTAATAGATTAGTTAATATTCAAAATATTGGTGATAAAATTTTAGCAACTTGGTTAGATGGAATACGATATTTAAAAGATAGATATAGTAGTAAACGTACATGGTCACGTATACCATCGTATAAAGTGGAACTTAAGAAATTGACTAGGTCATCAAATATTCAAAATATTTTAAAAGAAGTGAGTTCATATCGTTTTATTATGTGTAATTAATTTAATTAATAGTGTGTATACTTAATTTATATAATTTATAAGTTTAAAAGTCATGTGCAATTAATGAAAAAATGCGTCTATGTATTAACTCAAAACACATCCACAAACGAATATATGTTAGTATTTGATGAATTTGGTTCCATGAGACATGAAAAGAATGGAAAATGCGCAAATTGCAACAGATATAACACATCTTACGCTTGGTGCCAATCATGCGACCCTTGGAAGACAACACAAGGATGGACAAGTGGAAATAAGGATGTCGATGATTGTATTAAAGAATTTCAACTTAAAGCCACGTCTTATGATGACGTAATTGAATGAATTCGAAGTACACTAGCCGTGCAGAAAACGAAGTGTCGGGTCATGTGATTTCCGGAGCTCCGAATGATCATCTTCCAATCAAAATTCAGGATCTGGTGTAACGTGAAATTTTACGAAAACAACAAAGTTTTTTCAAAAATTGCAAATAACTCAAAATTTTACCTATGAAACCATCTTTTGCGTTCTAATTAAAAAAATTCCTTGCAAAATTTTACTATAAAGTAGGCCTTTCCTAACCCTAAATATATGTTTGTTTCTTTTATTTATATATTATCATCGATTGTTTTGATTTTTAAATATCAGATCGAATGCTTCGGAAGTCACATGACCCGACACTTCGTTTTCCGCTTGGCTAGGGTTCTAATGGATTCGTTTTAATAAATTAGATAATGTTCAAAACATTGGTAAAGGGGGATTTGATTCTGTGTTTTCAGCAAAATGGTTAGATGGTAAATGAACGGTTTCAGGTTCTAGTTATGAATATATACAATCACGTACACCATCCTGCGTAGTTGCACTTAAAACTTTACCTGGTTCACAAAAGAATTTTTTAAAAGAAGTAAGTTAAAATGGTCTAATTTAGATAAATTATGGATAAATTATTAGCATTATTAATTTTATTTAACTAGTTTAAAAGTTACACGAAATTTAGATAAATGTGCAGTAATCTTGAAGTGTATGGACTAACTCTAATAATGAATATATGATGGTATTTCAATATGCGAATAGGGGAAGTCTTCATGGTTTTCTATCTTCAACTTTTAGAGATCTTAATTGGAAAAGTAAATTAAAGCAGCTTGTCGATATATCTGAAAATCTAGCAAAAGTTCATGAATCAGAATATGTTCATGGAGATTTTCATAGCGGTAATATACTGCAAAATCAATATATTAGTGGTGATCTAGTATCCTATATTGCAGATCTGGGATTATCTAGAAAGAAGGATGAATCTGATTTGGAAGATTGTATTTATGGCGTTTTACCTTATGTTGCGCCAGAAGTATTAATTGAACAACCATATACAATAGCTGCTGACATTTATAGTTTTGGCATTATTATGGCTGAGATGTCTACGGGAAGACCCCCTCATTATGATTTTGAGTATGATGAAGCGCTAGCTATTCAAATATGCAATGGACTACGTCCTGAATTTGCTAAAGGCACTCCTGAATGCTATACTCAATTAGCAAATAAATGTATGAATGCTAATCCTTCTAATAGACTAACTGCATCTGTTATCCATAAAGAATTATCGAAATGGTATCGGATATTAAATAATAATAGTGCGGAAGATAAAAATGAATTAGCGATATTAAAAGCATTCCAATCTGCAGATGCAATTATTCCAACATTGTCAACCAAATTACCAGCTTGCCCTAAAGATAAACTTACAAGTAAACTGCTTAACTTTAAAAATCTTTCTACGCCAATTAATTCTTCATTTATTTCGCCTGCAAAATCGTTAAAGACTTGTGGTAAATAATTTATACTTATTATGATATATTCAACTTTTTAGTTGATAAAAATTTTACTTTTAATTTCTAGATTCTATTGCTCTCGATTTTTCAATTTCTGATGACGATGATAATGATACTTTACGTGTGTATTTAATAATTTTAATTTTAATTTACTAATCTATAACCATAATATTAATTTCGATTTAATACCTCCGCAGCCAATGATAAACGAATGACTCTCGATATTATGAAAAGCGTTTGTGTCATAGACAAAAGCACGTTATTAGAGATCATCAATTGTATCCAATCAGAGACGCGATTTACCGATAGCCAATAGAAACTTGGGGGGAAATTAGTAAATGTGATTTTCTTTTGCCCTTTGAATCAAATCATGAAATCAAGTAGATTAGAAAAGCTTTATTATTTATGATTATTGTGCACACTTTTTACGCAATCTTTATGCTTTTTTTTTTTTTACTATGCATCTTTGCATTTTCTTTATAATACACACTTCTCCCGAAGTAGTGTTTTTTCACGCCATCTTCACCCGACGACACGTGCTTCATAACACGCATTTTGCCCGTAAGTGTGTTTTTCAATTATATACACTTCAGAATAGTGCTTTATACGCTTAATATCTGAAGTAGTGTATTTTGTTTATTACTTTTTCATTATTCACACTTCTCCTGAAGTAGTGTTATTTTTTTTATTTTTATTTTTTTTGTGCATACTCTAACACGAAGATGCGTTATTTATTATATACAAAATGACCTTATTTTTTACATCTTAACTGTAGTTTTTTTTTTTTACTTTTCTAACAATTAATTCTTTTATTATGTAGCATTAAAAAGATCAAGAGCGTATTGCTGCCCTTCGTCGTACTCGGTCTTTTTCGGGGTGTAGGAAAAGGTCTTGCCGGAATAAGCAAAGAAGAAATAGAAACGTATATCAGGTTGTTAAAGAAAATCATCTAAAATTCCATTTATCAAAAAAAACAACTGACAGGTATAATATAACGTCCTGTGGGTGCTGGTCAAAATCCTGGCAAGCACAATCCCGACAGGTCAAAAAAAAAAAAATTCTCGATTTCAAGTAGAAAATCCCAAATATGGGGTATGTTTAAGGCAAAGTAGACTCTTATAATTTAATTAACTTTAGGGTTAGGTCACTTTAGATAAGGGTTAGGCTGGATTAGCTATGATATATGATATTTTTATCAAAATTTTTAATTGTCAGAATTTTTAACTGTTAGATTTTTGTCTGTTGAGCTTTTTTTGTTGAGATTTTTTTGTCGGGATTATGACCTGTCGAGATTTTGCTTGTCAGGATTTGACCAAAACCCAGTCCTCTATACATAAATTTATCATTAAAAATCGTTTTATATGATTTTTTTTATCCACTTTTAGAAATGGGCAATATATTTTGCTTCAGAACATGAAGCCGCACGATTTATTTAAGTGTAAAACAAAACCATTAACTGGACCAAACAATATTAAGATCGAGTTTTTACCTTCTAAAGATTGAAAATGATGATGATGAATATATCGATTACAAGTTTCAGGTAAAAAATGTCAAAAAAAAAAATATTGATAAGAATTTCTAAATTTATAGTTTGTAAAACTTTACTATAGGAAAATCTAAATAAGAAATTCCAAATTCAAAAATTTTCTGATAAAAATGACTTAGGGCAACAATCACAACAAAGACCAATTCAATTTCGCTATTCAGTTAAATGAGCGTGACCAAGAGTTTGAACAGCTAAAACAACAACTTATTGACTTATCTAATTTACTTTTTCCCAACCAATCTTATAATTTCACCCTATTTAAAGAAGAAGTCTCCCGTCTTAAACGCCAAGATTTAACTCTACAAGTCAAAGAACAAAAAGAGCAACTAGAGCAGCTAATCACCAACACTAAAACCCAAGCTGATAATCTGGAATACGTAGTCGATCTACTTCTGAAAATCCAAAAGCAAATCAGCAAAATTAAATCTGAAAGTAATGATTATTATCATCTACAAGGACAATTAACTGCCTTTTAGAAAATAGAGGAACATTTGAATATCTTTTGTTACTTCGCTAGTTATTGATGATCAGTTCATCAGTTCATTAAAAATCCGATACAAAATAAAACAAATTGTCAAGAAATTGAAAAAACAGGCATATAATCCTAAAATTAGCATTGCTTTTTATGCTCTCAATGATTGATCAATCGATCGATCGGCCATATTAGTTAGTGATGTCCGAAAAATTTATTATTTCGTATAACTGAGCTTCCAGAATTTGATCCGACAATTCAGACCTCGATTCGGACCTGCGAAGCACAATTTTTTGCACATATGGGCAAAAATTTTTGCTTGGAATATTGTGATCATTAAAATTGTGATAAAAAAAATTAATAAAATATTAAGTTAAATTAGATAAAACTTTCTAAAATTTGTTACAGTAGAAAGAATCATGATTTTGGATTTTTCAAGTGCTTGGAAAATTCGGTCTAATTAAAGTTTTTCTTCAAGAAAATAATAGAAGTTATATCTTTTGGAAGATAAAATTTGCAAGTCTCTCAATGATATTCATTTTCTTTTATATTTTTATTTTATGGTTTATATATATATTTTTTTTATAACCATTTATGAAATTTTGAATAAATAGACAATACACATTTTATTATCATTTACTAACTTTTATACTTTTGGAAACTTCGTTTAATCCATTAAGTTTTGATAATTGTATTTCATTATTTTAAGGAAAATAAAATCGCAAAAATTTAATATTTTATTATATTGATATTATTAATAATCATATAATTTTTGATTTTTTTTTTTTTTTTTGTTGGTCAAATTCCCATCCAGAGCAGTCTGATTTTGAAGCGTAATTCCAATTTGGGATACAACATATATATATATACAGAACAAATTTCAGGCATAAACGATGGAAAGTATGACAATTTGTTTCAAAACTGTCTTATTGAAGAACACATTAGGTTCTAGTTTTACGAATGTTGAGTTGATGGGAACTGGAGGTCATGGAAACGTGTATCGTGCTATTCTCGAAAGCAAAGAGTAACCATTAAAGAAATTATCAATGAGGTAACTTGGTTAATATTATAAAATTGATTTATATGATCATTATCAATATTGGTGATTTTATTGTAAAAAATTTTATACAGCTTAAATTACATCGTAAAGTAGACATGCATACTAACATTATACGGCTTTGTGGTGTTACTAAGAAAGAAGGTAAGCATGCTTATTATTAATTAAAATTATTACTGCACGTTTACGAAATTTAGGTATAAATCTGATATATGCGTAGTTTTTCTGACCATTTCTCATAATAAACGTCTAACAACTGATCAAAAATGATAACAAATAACATGTTTTATATATCTGGTAAATACGTAAATTTCGCCAACGCTCTGTAACGTTTGAAATCATATGTATGATATTTTGAAAATATATATCATTTGTTCCAATTATTAATAGATTCTTGCGATATAAGTTCGTTCTTGAATATGTCAATAACGAAACTTTGAGATCGTACTTAAAATAAAAATTTTAAATATCCTTCGTGGTACGACAAAATTAATTTTGCACTACAGATTGCTAGTTCAGTTAAATGCCTTCATGCTGAAGAAATAGTGCATTGTGATCTGGTAATTTTCAAAGCATATAAAAATTTTTACGACCTATATCATTTTTTTTTTTGTTAATAATAATTTTAATAGCATTCACAAAATATACTTGTTCATCAAAAGAATATTAAGCTTGCAGACTTCGGGCTTTCAAAAAGATTGGACGAAATAACAAATCCGGATTTTCGACTTTGTGGGGTTATTCCATATATGGACCCACAAAGTATTAAAAAATCGAGGATTGAAAATCCAAATTTTAAATTTAATAAAAAGTCGGATATATATAGCGTTGGTATTCTTATGTGGTAGATATCTAGTGGTCGTTCTCCTTTTAAAAATGATGTTGAACAAAATCAACTTGTGCTGTTGATTTTGGATATTATTAATGGTGTCCAAGAAAACCATATAGAAGTGACTCCATTTGAATATATAAAGGTATACACAGGTATAAAAAATTAATTGGTTTATAAATATATATATAGATGTACGTTAATAAATTCATTGAATGATTCAAATAGATTGTTGGCAAGATGATCCTGATAGCCGTCCAAATATTCAACAAATTATTTTGGACTTAAAATATTTAATTGCTGATAATAGTCGAGCTATAAGCACCACTACTCAAAATCGAAATATTTCACAAGTCAATGAGATAATGTCACAAAGTAGCTTGACAAATATTATTCATAATTTGAATATAAATCAACAAACGTATGATTTAATTATATTACAAGATGCTATTTCATTATTACAAAGTTCCAAGTTACCATCATATTCTTCTGTGATAATGTCAAATCATCATAAAATAGATAAATATGAAAAATTGTCTATTGACTTAAATAAAGCATTAGAAATTGAACTAATTGATACCAAAGCATTAGAAAATCGGGGAAATTGATGGTTTTATGAGCAAATATGAAGAGTCACTTGCAGATTTAAACAAATCGTTAGAAATTGAACCAAATAACGAATGGAAGTTAAGCCGCCTGGATATATTTATTTCGTGATGAATAGATATGAAGAGTCACTTGCCGATTTAGATAAATCTTTAGAATTAGAACCAAATGATGCGTGGGCATTAAAGATTCGTGGTGCGATTTGCCGTAAAATAAGCAAATATAAAAAATCACTAGAGAATCTAAATAAATCATTGAAATTTGAAAAAAAATGATACATTTGCGTTAAGGTACCGTGGAGAAACCTAACTCAACATCAAACGATATCAAGAAGCTCAAATAACGAAACAGTGACTATCATAAAAACGACGCTAAACAAAAAAAAACTTATCAACGTTAGTAAAATTTAAAATTAAAATAAAAAATTAACAATACAAAAAATTACAAAAAAAATTCGAACTTATCTATTCTGATCCGTAAAATAAAAAAAAACTAATAGGATACTTTGGTTTCAGCTAAAAAAAAATTAGCTTACTTATCCCAGTCACCACATAAAGGCGTATCCTAAATGACCAGGTTTATAACAACTGAAGTTGTATCCTAAGTAGGAGGTACGCAATAGACAACATGGATAACATTGTCCAATAACATGGAATATTAACCAAGACCCCGGTTAACGGGCGCAAATTATCTAAGAAAGATTCTCATACGGCCTAGAGTTCAGCTCAATTTGCATAGTAAAAGAGCTACTAGTAAGAGACGCCGCCATTAGCAATCTCCACCGCTCAGCCGTCTTGCACCCTAAGCAACTAGAATAATGTGGCCTTAAAGGTTATTAGGCGATTACTTAGGAATGAGGGTCCAAGCAAGCTTTTATGAAATAAAAAAATCCAAAAGAAAGTACGAATATAAATTATTAATTTTTCCAAAAAGAAACAATCTCATACGATAATGAATCTTTCAATGAACTGAGCGACCCCACGCCCATGTTTTGGTTCACCTTCGGAAAACGTCGCATTTTATAAATTAAGGTAATAAAAAAGTTTTTATTATAGTGGAAGATTTAAAAGTATAAAAGGGAAAGATAATAGTTACGAAAATATAAAGTTAAAATGATCCTTTTATTGATTTTTATTGTTTTGATGAATTGTAAAATCACGTATTGATTTGTTACCAAATATAGGGGTCGTCTAAAGCGGGGGCAATTTCACGTGATCACAGCCAATCAAATTATAGAATTTTGATGATCGTCGGCGAAGCAAAGCAAGAAACAAAAACGAAAAACCCAAAAAATAGAAAAAACGGCAGTCTAAATCTACCTCAGGTAGGTTAAGTGAAAATGTCGGGAAGGCAATTTTGCTTATATATAACAACCTAAAACCTAACCTAACATTAATATAAGATGACCCTAACCTAAAGTTAATTGAAATATACGGTCACGTGAATTTGCCCTCGCTTTAGACGTTCCCCAAATATAGTAATCGGTGGTGCACTTCAACCAAAATTGGGCGTGTATAAGGTTGGCGGTGCAGATCACCTGAACTACGAATCAGATTTCAAAATTAGATGTAGCTAATATATACTAACGCTAAATTAGCACAGGTTTTTTTCGTAGTTTTACCGGCTGCCCTTGCGTCGAAAGTGCGTCAGGAGTACGTCGAGCGTAACCCAGGTTTACATGAGGAGAGCATCTTCCTGCATTGCGAACATGAAGTAAAATTTCCAATTATATTATATAATTGGAAATTTTACTTTGTGTTCACAATGCAGGAAGATGCTCTCCTCATATAAACCCGGGTTACGCTCGAAGTACTCCTGACGCACTTTTAACGCAAGGGCAGCCAGTAAAACTACGAAAAAAATCTGTGCTCGCTAAATTACGATACTAAATTACTATACTAAACTAGTACATGATCATGTGGCGGCTTCGATTCAGTTAGTGCAGCCATAAACTTGATTGAAATCTATTAGCTCTGACTTACCTCCAAATAAATTAATATTAACCCTTTAAGATAAATATTTCTAGATAATTGAAGGATAATAATTTAAATAGATATATACTGTAATACTGCAATTACGATAATAATAAAATAAGCTAATTTATTTTCTTAAATCAGTTAGAAGCTCGCCATGCAAACATAGTAAAATACTATTTGACGACTTTTAAAAAATTTTAAGTATGAAAGCCGTCAGCTCACTATGGTAGAGTTGATTGTGTTATTTAAACGTTCACGAATATGAAGAGATCTGAAACTAAAAACTATATTCAACAGCAGCCAAGGATAAATATAAGGCATTCATTTATTATCAAAAATCCGCAAAGTTGGAGCGCGCTATAGGAACATGTAACGTTGGATTTTGTTATCAAAACTTAGACATTTATAGGCGTTCGAAGCAATAATGTGGTAAATATGCAATATTATATATTATTTAGTGTTTTAAGCTTGTAAAGCATAATTCTCCTGCAAAGTTTTCTATTGAATTTAGGTTTACTTTTTGATAAAAAAATTTA